CGGACGCTGCCGCTGGTGTTCCTGCCGCTGCCATGGAATTCCCGAGCGACAAGAACCTCGTTGTCCAGCCGAGGAAGAAGAACAACAACAACAACACTTGTGCCTCAGGGAGCGCATTTTTATTCTGGCAAGCTCTAGACCGTAAAATAATGTAGCGGGTGTCCCATGACACGACCCTTTCGCAGTTAGTGGCAGATCCCTCTGTTGCCACGACAAACAAACAAACATGAAATCAATCAAATCCCCTCACAAAATCAATTAGACTTTGCTGCGAAGATTGCTGCCAATCAATGCATCCAAAAGATAATCCCACTGCTCGCCCTCAGATGCTTGCTACAATCAGCGCGCCTAAGAACCGATCACGCATTCACGATTGATGCGATCGATCGATAGCGCATGAGCGTGGTCCCCTGTCTCCAGAGAAATAAGAACCCTAAAAAAGTATGAGAGACTTGTCATACTGAAATATTCTCCTCGTACGGTAGCCCTCTTTTTCTTCTACCCTAGTGGGTTAGACGAGACAAGCAAAGTACACGCACTCAGCTGACCAACACTGTGGTCTCACAGCAGAGTGGAGGCGAGAATATTTCGCAAGCAAATTCGCGGAATATCCTTTCCTTGTGACCGTTGCCTGACTGACGGCGGCGTTCACGTCCATGGGACACCGGACGTTACACTGGGCAAATGCGATTCGAGAGGCGCGGGAGTTGGACGACGCGCGGGCGATCCACCGCGGAATCCCCCCGGCTGACCAGAGCCTCTATCTTGGAAATCTTATCGTCCAGATGTATGGGCGCTGCGGCAGCCCAGACGAGGCTCGCGCAATGTTTGATTCCATGTCCGCGCACAATCTTTTCTCGTGGTCTCTTATGCTTACTGTGTATGCCGATCAAGGCAATGCCCACGGCGCCAAGAACGTCTTTGACAGTGCGCTCGAGAGGAACATAGTAACGTGGACTGTGATGCTATGTGCATATACCAACATCGGGCATTTTGAAGAGGCGAAGAATGTGTTTGCCGTGATGCCCGAGTGGAACGTATTTTCGTGGAACACACTCCTAAAAGCTTTTATACTTAACGGAGAGTTTGATCAAGCCAAGAAAATGTTTGAATGTCACCCAAACCGCGATGTCGTCTCTTGGTCTTTGATGATCCAAGCGTTTACCGAGGCAAGGCATCTTGATGTTGTCAAATCTCTCTTTGATGCTATGCCGGGATGGGATGTGGTGGCCTACAACAGCCTGATCGCGTGCTATGGAGTCAATGGTCACATAGCAGCGGCGATGTCGGCGTTTGATTCAATGCCGGAGAGGAGTGTTCTCTCATGGAATGCCGCGATGGCAGCGTTCTCCCAGCTTGGCAAACAATCGCTTGCGAGCGTGAGGGATCTATTCCATGCGGCCCCGGAGAAAACAATCGTCACCTATAATTCACTCCTCCAAGCCTGTGCGGCAGCCCTAGAGATAGAGCACACAAAAAATCTCTTTGACAAGATGCCCGAGTGGGACATTGTCTCATGGAACATACTTCTTGCCGCATTTGCCGAAAACAAGCAACTTGATCTTGTGAAGGATTTCTTTCGCGGAATGCCCGAATCGGATATAGTGTCCTGGTATTTGATGCTCACGACGCTTGCGCAGAGCGATCGCGTGGAGGAATGCAAGGAATTCTTCGACAAGATGCCGGAGTGGCATCTTGGGTGTTGGAGCTCTCTGTTGAGCGCACTTGCCCGGGCAAGGCAAGATGAAGCCGCGATCGCGGTGTTTCATTCGATGCCTCGCCACGATCTCGCGAGCTTTACGACGATGATCGCGCTCCAGAACTGGGAATCCGCGAGAATTCTTTTCGACGCGATGCCGGAGAGGGATGCCGTGGCTTGGAACGCGATGATGAGCGCTTACGCCAGGAGCTCTCGGTTCCAGCACGCGATGGAGATGTTCTACAGCAATCCCGAGAGAAATCTCGAGTCGTGGAATGTGTTTCTCGCAATCCAGGCGCGCAGCTGCGACCTGATGCGCGCGAGGAGGACATTCGATCGGATGGAGCAGCGCGATTCCATTTCGTGGAGCACCGTGATCGAGGGTTTTGCGCAACGCGGCGAGGGCGCGGACGCGGCCATGGAGCTCTTATCGGCGATGAAGATGGAGGGCGAGAGGATCTGCGAGGTGATCGTGACGAGCGCTCTATCGTCGTGCATCCACCAGGGTCTGCTGGCCCGAGCGTGGCAGATCTTTACCGGAATGAGCACGGATTTTGGGCTCCTCCCCGTGAAAGACCACTACTGCTCCATGGTCGCGATCCTAGGTCGCGCTGGAAAACTGGCCGAGGCCGAGGAGCTCACGAAATCGATGCCATTCGAGCCAGATTTTGCGGCCTGGGGCGCGCTTGTGGCGTCGGTCGATCAGAATCGTGCGAGATCAGGAATGCTGCTGCTCGGTTCCACCGCTGATGCCGGATCGCACGCGTTGCTCGCAAACACGATCATAAGATAGGGGTCCATGGTCCTTGTTCTTGAGCTCGAAATATCCATCTTCCAGCCAAGGGCAAGCGAAAGATCTCTCGAATTCTTCGCTGCGGGGCTGAAATCTTGTGGAAATGCGAGCGATCTGCCTGCCGCAAGGGAGATCCATGCCCAGATCGCCCGTAGCGAGCATCGCCACAGCCGCTACCTCGCGAATCTGGCGATGGAAATGTATGGCAAGTGTGGGCGACCCGACGAAGCACGGATTGTTCTTGAGAGCATCCTCGAGCCAAACGTTTTTTCGTGGACAATCATGCTCAATGCCTACGCCCACAACGGATTGATCGATGAGACCAAGCGTTTCTTCGATCAAATGCCCGAAAGAAACATCGTGGCCTGGTCTGCCATGATCAAAGCCTTTGCCTCAATAGGGCATGTTTACGACTCTCAATTGGTGTTTGATCGAATGCCTGGATGGAATGTGATTACCTGGAATGTGATGATCGCTGCGTACGTAGACCATGGACACTTCCAAAAATCAAAAGAACTCTTCGATTCAATGCTGGAGCGTGATCTTGTCTCGTGGCTCAAGATGCTCCAAGCATTTGCCTTCTGTGGGGAGATTAATCGCGCGAAGGAGATTTTTGATAGAATGCCCGAGCACAGCGTAGAATCAGCAACCGCAATGCTGGTTGCAAGTTCCCAGGGCGGTGATCTAGTCGCTTCCAAGAAACTCTTTGATTCCATTCCAAATCCATCCCTCGTTTCTTGGAACTCAATGATCGCCGCATTTGCCAGCGGCGGCAAATCCACCATAGCCAAGCTCATGTTTGATACTCTTCCACAGAGAAACATAGCCTCGTGGAATATACTCCTCCACGAGCACTCCCACGGTGGGAATCTCCACGAAACCCATCGCTTCTTCGGCGAGATGCCAGAGTGGGACGTGATGAGCTGGAATTCGCTGATTCGCGCCTATGGCATCCATGGAATCTCCCGCGAGGCCAAGCTCCGGTTCGATTCCATGCCCGCGAGGGATCCAATGACGTGGGCTCTACTGATGCAGGTATATGCCCAGGACGGGAACATTCTGCTAGCCAAGGCTCTGTTTGAGAATATGCCAGAGCACACGGTGGCGGCGTGGAACGCGCTGCTAACGGTATATACCCGAAATGGGAATCTCGAGCGAGCCAAGGAGGTGTTTGAGAGAATGCCCGAGAGAGATACGGTGGCTGGGAACGAGATGATCGCGGCCTTGTCTCGCAATGGGGAGCTCCGAGCAGCACTCGATCTCTTCAATCGGATGGAGCACTGGCGAGACATTGTGTCGTGGAATTCGATCCTGGCGGGATTGATCCACGCGGGGCAGATCCAAGATGCGGAGCTCCTGTTCGCGCAGATGCCTCGCTGCGACGTTGTGACATGCAACACGATGATCGCCGCGAGCTCCCGGCTGGCGGATTCGGCCAAGATCTTCGAGGCGATGCTGGAGAGGGACGTGATCTCCTGGACCGCAATGCTGGGCGCCCTCGGGAGGGGCGATCGCCTGGAGGAAGCCAAGCTCCTGTTCGATCGGAGAATGCCCGAGTGGAGCCTCGTGTCGTGGAACGAGCTCCTGGCGGCCTTCTCGCGCTCCAGCGGCACGATCGAAATCGCCGCTTCCATCTTCGCGCGCATGCCCGAGAGGGACACCATCTCCTGGAATTCCCTCATCACGGCCTACGTCCGGAGCGGCGACTTCAGCAGCGCCAAGAACGCATTCGATCGAGTCCCAGCGCCCGACGTCGTCTCGTGCAACGCGATGATCGCCGGATTCGTGGAGAATGGACTCTTCGTCCAGGCGGAGAAGATGTACGGATCCATGAGCCAGCGCGACAGGGTGACACACAATACCATGATCGCGCTCTACGCACGGAACGGGGATATGCCAACCGCGAGGGGGATATTCGATGGTATGCCCGAGCGGGACATGGCGTGCTGGGCGGGCGTGATCTCGGGGTATGCCCAGGGCGGGCATCCCCGCGACGCGATCGATCTCTTCCGGGCGATGGAGATGGAGGGCCTGGCACCCAACGAGTTCGTCTTCACGGACATCTTGAGCGCTTGCAACCACACGGGACTGGTCCGCGAGAGCTGGCGCTACTTTGCGCTCATGGCCAGGGAGCACGCGATTCCTCCCTCGATCCAGCACTTTTGCCTGATGATCGATGCGCTGGGACGATCCGGGAGGCTGGACGAAGCCCAGGATGTGATCCAGGCGATGCCGTTTTTCCCCGATGGAGTTGCGCTAAACACTTACCTTGGGTCATGTAAGATCCACCACGATTCAAAGGGAGCCGCGAGCATAGCCCGGCAAGCGATTATAGGAGGAAGATTAGGGGGAAAGAATGTAGAAGAAACCATAGCCGCGCCTCATGTACTATTGTCAAACATTTATATGATCAAGTGAAAGATCTCAGGTGAAAAAATGTTACTGTCAAGTCAATGTCTGTGAGATCGTAGACAACCTTGGAAGAATAGAAAACCTTGCTAGAAAATCTAGGACAGAGTTGATTACATTAGAAACAAAGCGAAGATAATACAAATTAATCTATGTTGCTTGCATTGACCACCTCACAATAAAAGCCTGTCCGGCAGGTTTGAATGATGAAAGAGAGGATATTCCCTCGCACATAACACACAGCACGGATAGAGGTCTTTCTTCTTCCTTCCAGGTGTGAAGGAGGAAGAAGGGATCCTTTTTTCTTTTCAGCTATGGAGTAGGAAGCAGTAAAAGAAGTGTAAAAGACTTGGGTGGCTAGAACACACTCGGGCTAGAAAGGACTCACCTAGAGAAGAGCGACGGCCTCCTCGGGTGGAGCGGGAGAGCTGCTAGTTTTGGTCGCGGCGCCGGCGGCCAGAGGTGTGGCAATGCTCCATACGAATCCATACGGATCCACAACCTTGCCATACCTCTGGCCCCAAGGCTGATCGCTCACTTCCTCGCTCACTTTGGCTCCAGCCTCGATCGCCCTCTTGATCGCCGCCTCCGCATTGTTAGTCTGGAGGTGGAGGATCGCAGTGGTGGCCTCCACGCTGCTTGGGGGCTTCACGCTGATCAAAAGAGCGAGAGACCCAGTTAGAAGAAGAAAAAAGGGGGGAAAAGAACTAGAACCGAGGAGGAAGAGGAAACTTACTTTGGGCCAGCGTCCGCGGTATCGTCGCACACCATAATCTCCGCGGCCCCAAACTTGAGATGGGCGTGGAGGATGAGGGGAACGTCCTGGTCGGCCTTGCGCTTGGGATGGTGCGATTTCGCGACCTCCTCGGCGCCAAAGGCCTTCTTGTAGAACTCGATGGCGTCGCTGGCGTGCGGCGCCTTAACGAAGAGATGGGGCAGCAGCTGCTCATACACAATCTCACCGTGGCCGCTCCCGCCGTTGACCGCCTGCGCCTCCACGGCCATGCCAATCGTAGCGTCCGCCATCGCCGCCCTAGGAGCTAGCTCTCTCTCCTCGCAAAAAACCCTCGCCTTCTTAGCGCTCGCCTCGCGCAAAGAAAGAAAGAAGGAAGACGCGAAAAAATGGAAAATGTGGTGAAATAAAAGGGAGCTATTATCAAACGGCTGTTTCTTTTGCGCCTTGTGGCCACAGCAGACGCAGCGGGTCACAGTAATCAGCGTCCACCACGTGGACGACCTTCCCGTTTGGAACGTGTTTACCGCGCGTGAGACACCGACGGCCGCGATTGCGCCATCGTGTCAGTGGACGGCCTGCCACGTGTTTGCTCCGGAGCGCTTGCCATCCGACGGTTGGCAGCCCGGCTCTTTTCTTTCACTGGAGCATGCCACTGCAGCTCCACCCTGGGAACTCTGACGATTTTAACTGTTCGTATGCGTCTGCCAGCTCTTGTTCTTGGCAGTGGAGCTCTTCTCGGTGGAAATTTTGCTGCTCGATCTTAAGGTGGCGATCGCGATCACCCTGCCATTTGGATTCCATCCATCAGAGTCAGTGAAGGAAAAGAGAAGGACAAATGGATTTAAAGTACCTTGCGAGCTTTTGTGGCTTTGGATTTGACGGGTGCGGCGGCGGTTGTGAGATGCTGTAGCTCTTGACGAAATGCCTCATTGTCAATGCACAGCTGATTCATCGCCGACCAACAGAGCTGTGGATGAGGCACGAAAGTCAAAGGTTAACAAACAAAAACCATGAATGGGTTTGAATGAAGAAAGACTTGCACTGATGTTGATCCGGTTCTCCTCGCACTGCTTCCGCAAATCGTCCGTCGACACCTGAATTGATCATCAAGGAACAACACGCTGCTGCCAGTGTGACGATCAAGAACATCCAACTTCGGTAAAGCAAATCTCATTAATACCAACCATGATGCGTTGGAGCTCCACGCTCTGATCCGGAACTTTAGAAACTTTCCTTGGCTTTTTCTTGGACGAAGCCAGCCTTTGGAGCTCCTTCTCGACCTTCTTCACGGCAGCATCAGTCCTGATATGAAGCGTAAATCCTCGCAGTCGAGAAAAGAAAGTATAACATCTATACCTCTCCATATGATTTTCTATGCCCGACATGAAACTCCGCAAGTTCTTCTCGATCTTCTTACTAGTCTGCTTCACGCGAGTGGGAAGTGTCTGTCGCAAAGACTTCCATAAGAAATCTAAAGCAACATTGAAAGAAAAACTGTTCTTCTTACCTGGGAGTGATCGTGTTCTTTCCTAGCTTTGGACAAGCTCTCCATCCTTCCTAACCGAGCAAGAACGTCTCTCAGCACATCCATCTCCAATCCCTGCGCGGCGGAGCGATCGTCCTTCTCCTCTCTCGCCGAAGATTTCGACCGTGGCCGCTGCTTGGAGGCCTCGTCGGACTTTTGTAGCATCTCCTCCAATCCATTGAGCTGGCCTCGCAGATCAAACCCATGCTTGTTGCTGGAATCCCTTGGAGTACTTCTCACAGAAGCCGAGAACCGGAAATTCTCGACGCTGTCCCTGGGAGTGTTCCTCATCGATCCAGCGTCTTTAAACACGGAAGCATCAAGATCCATCCAGTTCCTCCTGTAGGGCGAGGAAATCCACTTCCTGGAAGCCAGAAATCCACCGCTCGCATTCTCTGCCGGGAGCTTGGCATCCAGAGAGCGCAAAATCTCTCCCAGATGCCGGATCTTGTCGGGCAGCCGGCTGCTGCTCATGGATGCCGCCATTGGCAGCAGCGACCTCGGGCTCGCGCTAGAATGCTGCTGGACAGCTGCCGCGGGAAGCCCCAGGGAGATCCATCGCGGATCTTGGACAGACCTGGCCTGGAACAACGGCGGCGGGATAGATTTCGGTCCATCGAGCTCCGCGATGACGGATTTCACCTCCTGCTGCTCTTGCTTGCAAGAATCGTTGCCTCCGGCGGCACCGCCAGGGCTTACACCACCGATCGCTTGGCGCCGCGGCGAATCGGTCCGGGGCACGAAGCAATCGAGATTGAGCTTCATCGCATTCTCGCTTTTGAAGATCATTCCTTTCACAAAGGAACGACCTCCGGGTGACGTGTCATAGTGTGATTGGCTCTCCTTCAGTGACGGTTATACACGGTGTTCTAGCGAACGAAAGCCTTCGCGCGACACTGAAAGGTCAAGATCCGCAAGAGGAAGAATTTGTATAAAGATCATCAAGCGATCAAGAAAGAGCGCGGCAACTAGTTATGTTCTCCGCTTGGTAGCATCTCAAGCGATCGAGCAAACCGTGAGAACTCTGGGGTAAGTGATCGCATTGGGTTGTCAATCCCGCGGATCAAGCTTGCCAATCCTGGATTAAGCTATGGCAAGTAAGAAGAAAGGAAAGAGAAAAAACTTCTGAGGAGACGAAACAATTCTCTCGTAGAGTAGATCTCGATCGCAGGGACTATGTAACCAGCGATCATAGAGTTCCAGGGAACAATGTCTTTGATCCTCCAGTGGGCATATAAAATGCAGCATTTCTCAAAAACGGCATCTGCAATCACTCTACTATTCTGTTCTTCTTGTACAGTATGTGACATCACTTTTTGCTGAGTTGTTCCTCCATTTTCCCTTCCCCACTAGGATTGTGGGCTTACACATAACCCTTTGGCATGAATACAGTAGCATTGCGTGTTTCAGTCTCAACACCCAAGTGTTGCTGCCAGCCGCGTTCCTCGCATAGTTTTGGTGGTGGAAGGCTTTGCCATCCCCCTAGCGCTCACAGGCATTTTTGTAATTAATGATCCACACAATATTTTCCTAGAACTGAACAGCCCAGCCTTAGAAGACAACTTTGGCAATTACTAGTATGTTGAATCCAAGTGAGGCTTATATATTTCTTTGCAAAAATAATTAGATTATAGCTATACAATTGCATTAGGAATTTTCACTGATTCCTCGTGGAGAGCTATTAATAATCTAGTCTAATCACATTAGTAAAATCGCTGTATAATCTCTCCACTGTAGTGAAAATCACTGATACTGGAAATGGATATTGCGCACCAGAGATGTATGAGAGTGGCGAGTGAGAAGTTATAATGTTTACTTAGTAACAAAGTATAGCTAGTATAAAAGATTCATTTCTGAAAGGGGATGGCCAAATGTTACTTAAAACATTTATTAATAGTACCTTAGCTCTTAAATAGGAAGTAACAAAATCCACCATAATAACAAAGATTTTGCACTTACTGTCTTGAGCTGTATTGCTTGCGCTGGCAGCCATTGCAAAGCAATGCAAAACCCTGAGGGTTGGAACAAAACATGGCACAGACAACAATGCAGCCATTCATTATCTATTTCGTTATCCTTTGTTTAAGAACTAACCTTAGGCAATAGACCACAGCTGAAAACAACGCACAGAAAACGAACCATAGCAGAGAAGTTACAAAATCAGTACAGTTGCTTGGGCTTCCATCCTCTTATTAATAAATATGGTTACAAGCATTTAGACCCAAGGCCATTTCATCCCTGCAGATGCTTTCGCCTTCTCTAGAGCTTCTACAGCTCTAGACTTTGCTTCTTCAGCTGCTTCATCCACCACGTCACTAACAAGAGCGTCACCAACACTAGCACTTGAAGTCTGTGGCATTCTGTAGAGTGCTAAGTCAATACGAAGCTCGGAAACAGGAAAAGCTTACTTGTGTTTCTTTGGAACTTCCTTTACAGCCTCTACTCTTGGCGGCCTGGGCATTGGAGAGGCTGGCGGCTTTAAGTCCTCATACCTGATTAATATCCATTAATTTCGAGGATAGTCAGAAGCGATAAGAAACGATAAGAAACGAACCTGGCATAAGGTGATAAAGGTCGTGACAATGGCACGATTGGTGTTGGTGTGATGGCAGCTTCCTCAAATACGGGACTGCATAGGAAGGAAAAGAAAAGAAATGGTCTGCCAGTGCTGAAGTAGAAACTTGTACCTCGTGGTAGCCTTTAGCTCGAGTGATGATTGTGAGCTTCCAGAGTTGATTTTCACGTCCTCGGCGCTTGCATTCCAACGCCAGGAAAGTGCAGCTCTGGCTTTTGCAAGAGCAGCCTCTTCTCTTTCTTTCACTGTGGCAGCCGAGAAATCTGGCTGTTCCTTGTCATCTGCTTCCGTCGCAAGCTTTTCTTCGATCTTCCCCAGAGGCTTTTCTGCTATCTTCTCGAGAGGCTTAACAGGTCCCGGTTCCTCGGCGGCCTTTTGCACCGTCTTCGGAGGCTGGGGCGTTGGAGAAGTTGGAGGCTTCCAGTCGGGATAGCTGCAGCAAAATAGGCACTGTATCAATGCCAAGAATAAAAACGAAAAACGATTCTTCACCTGGGATACGGGGAAAGTGGCCTTGAACTGATAATAGGTGGAGTATCCACCTGGATTGCCTCGACCACCTTCTTCTTTGGTTCATCCTTCTCCACCTTCTCTGATTCATCCTTCTCCACCTTCTTCTCTCCCTTCTTCTCTCCAGCAGAAGCTACTTTCCAGGGCCAAACAAAAGCTGTTGCTGCTTTAGCCTTTGCCAGGGAATCTAGTTCTCGTTCCTTCACCCTTTGGGGATCAAACTGCACAGCCTCTGAATCAAGTTTGCCTTTGTCTTCCAAAACTATTTCTTTCTCGGGCGAAGAAGTCTCTGGAGCACGAATGTCTGTGGAGGCAGTTGTAGCCGCAGCCTCAGTTGCGTCCTCAGCTTCTTTTGGAATCACACTGCGGTGCAAAGCTTGAAAATCTATATCAAAAACTGCAAATATACCTGGGACTGTCTTCGTCTGTAGCAATGATAGCTTCCGATGGCTCTTCTTGTTTCTCTTCTTGAATCACACTGCAATGCAAATTTCATAAATCATAACTCCAGGAAACAAAAACGTTACCTGGATTGATCTTTTGTTGCTGCATCGTTAACTCTTTCTACAGCTTCTTTTTGACTCGCACTGCAAACAAACGAGTTCTTATCATCTTGTTTAGAAAATGTCAAGTACCTGGATAAGATGTCAGAAGATGGTGCTTCACTTTCTCCTTGCTCTGATGTTGGAGTTTCCGTAATATTTTCGTCCTGCCACGGCCAACGAAACGCTAGATTCGACTTTGCTTTCAAGAGAGAGGCCTCCTCCCTCTCTCGACTAGTCATCTCAGCGTTTTCTTTAGTAGCCTGTGGCGCTTCACTTGGTGCTTGATTTGGCGCTTCACTGGGTGCCTCGCTCTCACTTAGAGGTTCTGGAGTCGGAGAGCTAGGAGGCTTGAGGTCAGGATATCTGTAAAGAAACAAATATATATGTGACATGTATTAAGAAAACTAAATTACCGGGGATAAGGAGACAGAGTAGCTTCTGTGGAAGGTGCCTCTGCTTCTGCTTCTGCTTCTGCTTCCGCTTCGTAAGACCTGACAGAAAACAAGAATAAGGATGTATAAGAACCAAAGTAGCTTACTTTGCGGTCTCTTTTTGTTGCCAAAACCATCGAAATGGTTGTCGTGCTGGTTCGCTTTCGGTGGTATCCTCCTTCTCCGTCGGTAGAACCTTTGGCTGGGTTTCATTTGCAGGTTCTGGCTTTGCGTTCTCCACCTTTTTAACAGTCTGCTCGACCTCCTCAGTGGGACTTTCAGGCTTACTTTGAAGCTCCTCGGATTTTGTTGCCGGCTTGCCAGCAGCCAAATTTTGTGGTGTCTTCGTCGGAACGGGCTTTTGAGGTTTCTTTGTCTGAAGCTGGTCAGCTGTTGCCACTCCTTTCGCTCCTGCTTGAGTTGTTTCTGTGGACTTCTTACTTGGGGGAATCGTTTCCGCCTTCGGTTCATTTTTCACTGATGCTTCCAAAACCTTGTCCGTTACTTTGGATTTGGAAGTCTCTTTGAGGGAAGCGACTTTCTTTGAAGCTTTCGGAACGGCAGTTTTGGTAATGATTTCCGGTGGCTGCGACACTTTCTTTGCCTCCGCCTCCAAAATCTTACGCTTTTCTACCTCGCTCAACCTGTAAAACGGTGTGTGATGGAAGAACATCATACATGATGGTACATTCACTTACGTTTTCCCTTCTTTGGCTGCTGCAAGTAAAGCTTTGGCGACGGCCTCCGCTTTCGCAGCTGCTTCTTGCGCTTCTTGTGCTTTCTCTGACAGTTCGATTCTTTTTCTTTGAAGACTTTTTGCCTCAGCATCTGCAGCCATCTCCTGTTGTTTCAAAGCTGAGAGTTCTTTTGAAATTTTTTGACGTAATTCTTGAGTTTTTTTCGCCTCTACGGCCTTTCTTTTCGCCTCATCCTGAGCTCTCTTCGCTTCAGCGGCTTTGCGTTTCGCTTCATTTTGTGCTTCTTTTTGTTTCAGCTGTTCACTTTCACGCTTTTCTTCAGCTTTTGCCAATGCCTCTTCATCTTTCCCCTGTAAAAAAGATTGTAGACATATGTACGTAACACCGGATTTCAACCGTACCTTTACAGCAGCTTGAGCTGGAGTGCTTTTCCTATCAGGTTCGTCCTTCCCACTCTGGGACGGAATTTCTATCAAAAGGTCTTCGAGAGAACGTAGTGGCGCACTTGTCTCCGCTATTGCTTCCAAAATTTTGTCCTCGGCAAGCTCCAGATTGTTCGCAATGCAAGCTAGCAATTCAGCTACCTGAAATACTGTCAAGACATAATCAGTTAACTGATACAGCGAGATAAATAATCTACCTGAAGCCTTGATACTTGGCCACCAGTAAATGTATCCTTTGGAGCTAGCCTAAGATTGTGAGTTTCTTTAAATGCATCAGTCGGCCGCTCCATTCCTCCCGGTCTAACAATCTGGCACACAGCGAAATCTTCACATGCGCCAACAGAAAAAATAAAGAAACAAAACACATACTGTGTAAGCCAGACCGCTGTCAATTAAAGCCTTCTCCGCTTTTGCTTTCCAGATTAAAACTCCCCAGAACAAACTGGTCGCACAACAGTTTACTCTCGAAATAATTTCTGGAACTTTTACTTACTTGAGTACAGATGCCGGCAAACCAAACTTAGTCGTTCCCAGGGATGTAACAAGAATGAAATGCTTCACCTCTGCATTCTTGGCTGCAAGCACAAAACGATTAGCACCAAATCAGTGGAACGTACCAATACCTGCCGCTATGAGATTTTTCGTTGCTTCGTAGTCGATTCTATACGGCCCAGTCACGTCCAGAACCTCCTTCTCACTGGCACCGATTGCGCAGATGACAACCCCAGAATTTCCTAGAGCAGACTCGATTTCCTCTGGCTTTTCCAAGTCGCAATCTATGATCTCTAGCTGATCGTCTTTTCTCAAACCGAAAAACGCAAGCACTCTGTCCAAAGGTGAGGAGGCTGTGATCGAGCTGATAGTTTCCTGATAGTTCGAAAAATGCAGAGCACATTTAGTTTTTTTCATTTCTACAAACATGATAAGAGATGCTCACCCCTAGAATACTTTCAGCCTTGTCAATGCTTCGCACTCCAGCACGAACTCGCAGTCCAGACTTTACAAGCTCCCTGCCAAACGTTGTGATCAGTTCCACAAAGCATTTGTCTTCCAAAGAAAAAACTTACTTGACAGTCCTGGAGCCAACATTCCCTGTGGCTCCTGCTACAAACACCACAGTGGTGTCCTTCTTACGAAGCTTGAGCGTCCCGGGCAGCTTGAAAAGTTTCTTGGTTCCAGTCTTCGTATCGTCACCGTCGCGAGCAGTACTGGTGGCTTGAACAACTGGCAATTCAAAATGTAATCGAGCGAGAAGAATTTGCGGACGAACAAACCTGGAATCCATACTCTTCTCCTCGACACTGATCTCGACAAGAATTTGCGCCCTACTGGATTGTGAATCCGAAGCCCTTGCTCACAATCCAGCAATCTCTCCGACGCACAGCGAACACCAGGCGCCGCAAGAAGAGAACATTGTGGGAGACCGCCCGCCAGCGCCGCTCCAGACTCCAGCCGGAGCTGCGCCATCGCCATCGCCAAAGCTTCTTCACAGCGCGAGCGCCTAGAGCTAGCCTAGCATGAACCAGTGATGACGATAATGCCACGTCCACGTGGCGGCACACCATTGCGCTTTACAAACATGCGTGGCACTGGATTAGGGTACACGTGTTCGCATACAATTCGCACACCTGGCATCGTCTCCTAGCTCTGTTACTAACAAAAGATGGCATCCTTGACGAGCATGGGAAATTTGCGATCGTTCATATAGACAAAGCGGATCGCCCTTCGCGGTGGAAGAGGTCCGCCATCGAGAACGAGGCAATCACCCGGCGAAAGGCGGCGAAAAACGCCCGGATCGACGAGCTTGTAGGACGAGAAAGTGCCGCAATCGACGTGAATGTCACACAGACTATCCTCGCACTCGTTCACGATCACGACTTCGTACTCGAGCCCGCCGGAGTCCCCCTGACTGATCACAATGTCCCGCTTGGAGCATTCTAAAGAGAAAAAAATGGAGAGGAAAGGATCCGAGCAAACAAACCATGGAAAACTTACCTTTGCTTGATGCTGGGAGAACGGAGAGAAAGATATAAAGCGCGAAAAGCTTGAGCGACGCTTCCACTAGGATCATCTTCCTCATCTTCGTGATGGATCAAGCAAGAAGAGTGAAAAGCTTTCAAGCGATACCTCTAGTTCTCGTAGGTAGAGTCCCCGGTAACTGGGACTCTTTTCTCGTTTTCGTGAAATACCGTATGAACAGTAAGAATGGATAAGCTTATGCGAATTAAATTGCTTGTGTGCGAGTTTGTGCCATCTTCCACGTATTATCGTAGAATCCGCTCGGATACACACTCTCGCTACAGTGTGTTTGACCGAAATGGCTTCTAGAGAATGAATCTCTTACCGAGAATGAATCTCTTGCGAGGCTGTAACCTCATTCGCTGCGGCGAAATCGTGTGGCTTTCCCACAGGTATATTTTCGCATGCGAGAAAAGAAAGGATGGCGCTTCTTTGCCAGCTCTTTAGGCTCCTGTGAATTTACCAGCGTTAGTTCCAGAGAAGGAACGAGAAAAACTTACTTTGCATCAAGATGTGCCATGACTTTTCCACCAGGGAACGCGGCCTGTGTCTTCCGAAATGACTCTCTAATCGCGTCCTTCCAAGTCCCAGTTACGTGTAGAAACAGCTCCTCGTTCGCATTCTTCTTTGTTTCAGCCGATGGTTCGTCCATTGGCAACGAGTAGCCGGACAAAAGATGGCCGACCCAGCTTCCTGTGTTTCTGAAAGCAAGACTTAGAACTATCATCAACCGGAAAGCTTGCAAAGCTTTACTCGATCACATCCATGTGTCGAGGAACATAGTGACCGCCTCCAAGCCCAAGTAGAACATTCTCGCCGTGATGTGCTCTACAAGAAGTAAACATGCCGAGGTTATGATAAAGCATGCACAAGTTTGAACTTTCGCACCAGAAAGCTTACTCGGTCCATTTGCCGACCTCGGTTCCTCCATCGAGTCCCAAACCTTGCCAAAAGACCTGAAGAAAGGATTGCATATAACTGTTGAGGAAATACAAAAGATACAAACTGTTGCAATCGCCTGTGCCGCGTCTAGCCTGCTCCAATATCCATCCGAGCTCCCTTGAAATGTTTCCAAGTAGACAGTCGATGAATGAAACAGGAAATAAAGTGCTTACCGATCTCGACAAACATCGCTGGAGCGTCGACCTCAGGCCCATGGTGCGTTGCCTCAAGCGTAATCTGTGGTAGTTCTGCGAAGTTAAAAACTTGCGAGAACACAAGCATAGGTAGCTCGTACCTCAAACTCGGGAACAAGTTCGTGTTTAACAGCAACTTCTTTCAAAAGCCGTAACCAAGGTGCAATTCTGGGACAAGGCGGTGATGCAAATCCCGGCTTTCCACCTGCTAGAGGTTTCTCGCTCGGTAGCATGTGTGGAACACCTTCGAAAAAAGTAAGTGTTGAGAAACAAAGAGAAAGAACGGTGAAGTTTACCAATTGGATGAACTGTTAAGGATGGTTTTCCTGAAACAGCAGCGTGTTTGCTCATGAAGATTATCTCTGTGACGTGCTCGCCAGAGTGTGACTCCCAACGATGATCGAGATTGTCTTCGCCCACAATTGAGCCTGTCAATTGCAGCAGTCTCACATTTCCCATAGCGAAGTTCTTAAAGCCCTGGAAAAAAAATTCTCAGCAAAGAGAAAAGCGACTTGGGTTGGATACCTGCAATGGGCGGCCTTGCGTCCATGAGTTTGGCGCAAAGAAGAGCAAAGCGGAGGCTGGATTGATCGAGGCGGGATCAGTTGTCGTCGCCACAAGCAAAGTCACCATTCTTTTCATTCAAATGCCCTGATTCGCAGAACAAAAATAAGGAGAGAAAGACTTAAAACAAGGGTGGCATTCAAGTAAAAGAGTTACTCGATAGCTTCCCGATTGACACTCGATCTGTATGCGGCCTCGTCTTGAATAATATGAGGAATTGTCCAGCATCCAAGAAGGTGTTTCGAGTTGCTTCCACCTTTGAAAAAAAAAGAGTCAAAACTACGCTAGAGCAAAAGAATTCTGTGTCACCTTCTTTTACCGCTTCTTCGCAGCGCTTCTGGTAGCGAGCCGCCAGCCCTGGTTCAAGCTGCTTCACCAGATTCTCGTACTCTCGCTCGATCTCAGATATCAAACTTGCCTGGCGGATACAAGTTAGAAAATCTTTAAAAAAGAATGATAAAAGGAAAATCTCACAAGCTTTGCTGGAGCTGTCTTTGCACCATACAAGCTGACAAACATTCGCAGAATGTTGAAGCTGTTGTCAACAACGTCTTCCTGAGAAATGCTGTGTTCAAACTAAGTCTTCTAAAAGCACACTTTTTACCTCGTAGTCGTATCTGTTCGTCCAGCAAACAAACACAGTGAGGCCAAGCGAACTTAATATCCAGAGCAAGCTTACATACAGGTCGTCTGAAATTTCCACAAGCAATTCCGATGTTTTCAGAAAGTTGAAATGGACTTCGTTTACCTGAAGAGGAGAAAAGGCTATCTAGTGAAGACGAAGGAAGTCGACTATCTTACCTCTTCGTCTCTTAGCCGGTAGAGCAAAAGATTCAAAACGCGATAGTCGAAAGACTTGAGGCGCACAGCTCGCAAAACATCTGAAGCTGAAATCTGGGAGAGGCTGCCGTGTCAGTAGCAACAATATCCACGAAAAACCAACGCAAACAACTTCAGAAGAAGAGCTCGAAGAGAGCGCCTTGCAAAGAGTGCGCTCCAACAGCCAGTACTCAACTCCATCTTCCAACTCCTTCTCAATCCTAGAAAAGGAAAGAAAAAAGAAGAACGCTACAAATCTTGCATCTGTTTTTCCTTCGTACAAACCTCTCAGTAAGAAGATTTTTGTTCATGAGAACTTGTCGCAATGCCAGGAAAGGATCAGCTCCTAAAGCACCACTACCTGATACTGAGAACTTGCTTAGGAAAAAGAAGAGGAAGCTAAAACTGTGTTACTCACATTGGATCGCATTCTCATTCTGATCGTCCAGCTGCAATAGATAGATCTTAGAACCAGAGCAAGGAGATTCACAAGAAGACGAGGAAAGAACTAAAATACCTGGTAAATAAAAGCCTCGACAAACATAAGAATTGGCAAGTGCTTGAAAACATGGCGCTCGTCCAATCCATGGAACATGAAATAAGATCTGCACTGTAAGAGACAAGATTCCAGCGTTTGCTCATAGGATTCAAGCTGTGCACTTACAAAATCTTCCAGTGTGGAACGAGCGCGCTCCATCGCTCCAAGGGATACCTGGGCCATTTACTTAAAACCCTAACACCATAGTTCTTATGAAGAAGAAGATGAAGTGGAAGCACCGCTCAAGTTGTTAATGCTTTATCTCTTGAATTGCGTTCTTCCAACTTCAAGCGAAGGTGTTTCCATTTGTTTGGGATCCTTTTCTTCCCTCACTGAGAAATGAAGAGCGCGAATGTTTTTTGAAAATTGGGTTTGGAAAATGTGAGACTCCTCCAATTGACTGACAATCTCGACCATCTTTGAAAGTCACACAGTGGCGAGCGTGTGACGGCGGAGATTGTCTTTATGAGCAAACACACTGCTGTTTCAGTCAAACCATCTCTAACAGTTCATCCAGTTGGTAAGCTTCACTTTTCTTGCTCGTTAGTCTCAAAAGTTTAACTTTTTTCGAAGACGACCGAGCGAAAAGCCTCTTGTTGCCGTCAAGCATGCTAATGTCTGTCGTTAAGTTTCAGAAATACAGACAAACATTACGCTCGAAGGCCGGAAATTGGATGTTTGTTGAGATTAGGCACTTCCCTGGAGTTTGTATCTCGTCTATTTGGTCAAACATCCGTTTTTTTTTTTTTCCAGGTCTTTTGGGACTGAAGGAAGGAAGCTTTCTGGTGCGAACATCCAAACTTGTGCATTTCTTATCATAATTTTAGCAATTTCCTGGTCTCACAGGAGCCTGCAAAGAAGTGCCATCCTTTCTTTAATCGCAAAGAAAATATATCTGTTGGGAAGCCATTTCGGTCAAACCCGAGCGGATTTTACGATTATACGTGGAAGGTGGCACAACCTCGCAGAGGAGATTTAATTCGCATAAGCTTATCCATTCCAAAAACCGGTGTTTCACGTACGTATCCCAGATTACGGGGCGACGCAGCCTTAGGATAAATACTCGTGTTTCACCATAAGAGAGAGTAGCTTCTTCTTCTTTCTTGCTTGATCCATCCCGCCAATGAGGATGATCCTACAGGAAGCATCGCACAAGCTGTTCATGCTGTATCTCTTGATCTCCGTATTCCAGCTTCCAGCGATTCAGGTAAGTTCCATTTGTTTTGGATCCTTTTCTTTCGTTTCTTCCTCACTTCTTCCATTTGTGTAGACCGGCCCATGGGCATGGTCGAGTTCGAAGTGGTGATCATGAACGAGGGCAAGCGCAGTGTGTGCGGGATTCACGTCTATTGCGGCATTTTCGCGTCCTACAAGCTCGTCGATCCGGGAATTTTCCACTGCCTCTGATCTTCTCGTTCTGGATGGCCGCGAAGGGAGGTTCACATGAGCGATCGCAAGTTCCCCATGCACCTCAGAGATGCCACCTTTTGCTAGTCTGCGAGTAGCGGTTTGTTTTCCATACTAAGTTCACATTTATGCACATTTGCTTTGGCCAAGCCTTCGGGCGCGATCAACTGATCAAGGTCTACGAGTTCCCGAGTTCCTGCTTTCGCAGATTTCAATCTTTACGTGAACACTGCTGTTTTCCTTTGATTTTCTGGTTTGTGTAGTCCTGGCTCCTGACGATCCAATCGAGGAAGAAATGCACGAGCATGGTGGGATAGTGAAAGTATCTCTGACGATGATTCGAGCCATGACGAGGTACATTGATCAAGGTTTTATGTACATCTTCTATGTTTCTCGATTGAACTGCAGTCTCCTTACTTCTGGTTGAGAGCCAGAAACAGAAGGGGACCTCAAGAAGATCTCAGCCCCCTTATAAGTAAGTTTGTTTGATCTGTAATTCCTTGCCCGCTTTCTTGTGCTGGAATTTTGCCATAGCTCTTTACTGATACAACTTGTTTTCTCTTTTGCTTTTCCTCTGTTTTCAGTGTGGTCGACGAAGAAATGCACAGTTTTGTGAAAGGTACACCGGTGCTGTTGAATGGGTTTTGGTGGTTTTATAAGTTCCATAGCTAGCTCTCTTGATACAACAACTTACTTTCTCTTTTCCTTTTCCTCCTTCGTTGACAACTTATGGAGTTTTGGCAGCGCTTTTCTGGAAGCTCCACACAGTCCAACTCCCAGCTCGATCAAGAAGCGAAAAGAAACATGAAACCAGCTCTTTAACTTCCTCACGAAAATCTGTTCCATGCTTTTTCTTCCAGGACCAAAAACTATTATTTTGACAACTTCCGATTCCAGGCCATCCACAGATGGGAAGATTGTGGCCGCAAAATGCAAGTCCGATGATTCCTGGAGCGTTAAGAACGTTCCTGGCGGGGGAGCACGGCCATTCAGGAAACTCGTGAAGACAAGGACGTTTGTGAGAATCCTGCTGGGCAATTCTGGTACACGGATCTGTAAAGAGCTATAAGCCAAAAATTCTTTGTGGAGCTAGAAGAATGAGATGCTTTATTTCGTTAAAGTGGGACTTATTCAGTAAAGTGGGACATTAATTAACATATGTCCACATGCTATTTCCTAGTACTTAATTAATATTTATTAATATTTCTATCAGTTTTTTAATTTATTTTTTTATATTTCACAATATTATAACACAAAAATCATATGAAAAGTTTTTAATTTATAAATTATAAAGTTAAAACTTCAATTTTTTATTGTTGTTATAAAAATGGCATGTGGCCACACACTATAAGTGGGATAATGAAAAGTCCCACTTTAACGAAATAAAGCATTGAGGAGGTTTATATAAAAATCTGATTCACATTGTTTGTTTAGATGAAACTTGCCTAAATGAGCATTGTTTGTTTGCTTTTTTGACTTCATATTTGGTATACATTGGTTGTAGCATAATTATGTTAAATGTGATTTTAAGGATTTTCCCCTTTGTTTCATATTGTCTTCCATTCTTATTATTTTTGTTCCTTTTCATCCCTTTATTTATACTTTTGCTTCCATCACTTTTATTTTTTCATTATTTTGTTTTATGTTTCCATTTTACTCTTCTACTCCCTTTTTAAATCCATTAAGACAATTTTTATGTTGCAATTGTTAACTGGCTTATAAAGGAGTATGCTAATCTTTTTGAATTTGACCTTTATTCTAACTAGGGATATTTGTCCAATCAAAGTTTTTGTTTGTCACCAGTTACCAAAAGAAATCAAAATTTTACATACAAACATCAAAAAGATGTTAGAAAAAGTTGTTATCCAAAAGTTATAAAGTCTTTGGATATGTGAATTTCATCTTGTCATAAAATTTGATAAAAGTATTTACTTTTGCATTGATTATTAACTGTTAAACAAAATGACTATTTTAGATGTGTATCCTCTTCCTTATATTGTTGATCTTTTAAATTGTTTAGGGAAGAATTGTTGGTTCATAAAGTTAAATTTTGCTTCTAAATACTAGCAAGTGTTGATGGCCAAAAATGATGTTCCCAAGACTATATTTTATACATCATTAAGTTTGTATGAATTCTTGGTGATACTATTTATGTTAAACAATACTATAGCGACTTTCAAGTGGATGATGAATAAAATTCTTTGTAATATACTAGAGATGATTGTTAATTTCATTCATAATGTCTTGATCCACTTAAAGGGGATGTGAAAGGAGCATATTTGTGATGTTTAGAAAGTGTTAAATTAGTTGTGGAAAGTTAGTTTAAAATTGAAACGGTTGAAATGTGTGTTTAGGTATAAGGACACAACTTATGTTGGGTATCA